AAAAAAGGATTTTTAAATGAAATCACTTTTATGCCTCTTGTGCGACCTTTATGCACAACCTGTCCACAAGTGCCTGGAATGACAGGAGAAGGTGGAATAGCCTTAAGCTGAAGGAGAGGAGGTTTAGTTTGGGTATCAGGAAGATGGAGATAGGTCATTAGATAGACAGATCCACCAGGTTGCTCCAGATCTCACAGGAACTCGGATGTGACAAGGCAGGTGCCTTCTCCACACAACAGTCCAGCAGGCACGTTGCTAGGCCAGGTCTAGCCCTTTCTAGTTCTTTATCTTAGAACTAGAAATCCATACAACCTTCCACCCCCCTCTCCCCAGCCCCTCCAGGCCCCAGAAAGGATGTGGGGACAACTATCATGGAATTACCACAGGGCCAAACCCAAACCTGCACCGGAGAAACGTCACCTCCAAACCTCTGAGAACAGAGATAAACCAGCTTTGCAACACAACAGCCAGAGGTGGACGACACTGGAGACCCTCTCTGAAGCGTTTAACTCACCTTCCAGCCCTGAGGTGTCTGAGCCAGGATGGAAACACACTCCCAGTGCAGCCCAGAAGTGCTGATCCAGGATAAACTCCCTGAGCCAGCTCAAACACATTCCACGAGTGTCGGTACATCAGCTCTGCCCCGGCAGGCTCAGTGCCAGGGCAGGTAACCCCTGTCCTCACCCTGCTGCAGCCGAGCTGGTGCCAGGGCAGGTCCCAGCTCTGCTCCCACAGCTGGCACAGGAAGCACAGTGGGAGCTGGGAATTGCCTGTTCCAGCGGCTCCGGGATCAGCGATGACGGGATCGCGCTGGAGGCAAAGCTGCACTGCTGGGTGATCCCATGGCACGGGAGCACTGCTGAGGATCCCTATCCCAGAGCCAGGAACAGCTGGAACACGGCCCCAGGAACACCTGGGACACGGCTCTGCTGCGAGCTCTGCTCAGCCCAGGAGCCAGGGACAAGGGACACCAGGACAAACAGGTACAGCTGCTGAGCCTGCAGGAGAGAAGGCTCCAAGGAAATCTTAGAGCCCCTTCCAGGGCCTAAAGGGGCTCCAGGAGAGCTGGAGAGGGACTGGGCACAAAGGATGGAGGGACAGGACAAGAGGGAATGGCTTCCCACTGCCAGAGGGCAGGGTTAGAAGGGATATTGGGAAGGAATTCTTCCCTGTGAGGGTGGTGAGGCCCTGGCACAGGTTGCCCAGAGAAGCTGTGGCTGCCCCATCCCTGGAATTTCTCAGGGCCAGGTTGGATGGGGCTTGGAGCAAAGGGACAACTGCCCCAAGGGGCTCTTAGGAGACTTTTCCTTGCTTGCCACTGCAGCCCTGAGGGATCAAGAACACTCTCTCATCAGACCCCACAGCACAGGAGTGGGTTTTGCTCAGCTGACCTTAAAAAGAAAAAAAGGCAACAACGCAATTAGAATGAATAAAAATACCCTTAAACACCCCAGCAGACAGTCAGTGTCGGTGTTTTCAAAGGCACAGGAGCACTTTAGAAACAGATTGGTTTATTTGTTCCACGTAATTTCCTCCCAAATGTGTCCCTGGATTCCCCATCCATTGCATCTGAGATACTGCAAAGGTGACCGGGGAAGTTTTTAAATCACGAGCTCCATCAGAGGCCACAAAGCATCAGCCAGGCTTGCGGGGATGAGGGGCAGGGGCTGGGCTGGTGGGTTTAAATAATCCTACTCTGACCTTGGAAAGCCCCCGTTCCAGCTGGGAGCACAGTGGATGCTGCAGGCAGCCCTGGCTGGGAGGCTCAGGGAGCACCTGGGAAGTGGAACAAGGCAGACCTGTATGATCTGGAGCTGGTGGAGCTCTACATGGAACCCTGGAATGGTTTGGCTGGAAGAGGAGATCTTAAAGCCCATCCAGTCCCACCCCCTGCCATGGGCAGGGACACCTTCCACCAGCCCAGGTTGCTCCAAGCCCTGTCCAACGTGGTCTGGAACACTTCCAGGGATCCAGGGGCAGCCACAGCTTCTCTGGGCAATCTTTGGACACCACAGAGTGTAGCAAATTATCCCCCCCTTTATAAGGACCAGCAGCCCTTTCCCTGTGGATACACCCCAGGCAATCTCCAGAGCCCCCTCCATGCAGGGGGGAGCTGCACCACCCTCCCCAGATCTTTTTATATCCTCATTCTGCAGAGGAGAAAAAATAGCAGACTGTCAGAATTCAAAACTGCCCAAATTAATGTATTTTTGGACCTCTCTCCCTCTCCCCAAGAAACGCTGAAAACCCAGGAGAAGAATCCTGTCACCCTTTTCCCAGGCCCTGCTCTCCCTCTCCTTAACCTCCTGCAAGGTTTTGCTTTTTGCCAAAGAACTCCCTCTTATCCCAGTGTGGCATTACTTAAATGCCCACTGATTTTTAACGTTTTTTTTTCACCTTTTAGCAAGAGTAGGATGTGAGAGACTTCACTGCCTGGGGCTGCAGGAGGCACCAGGAACAGGGTTATCCTATTTCTGCCCGATTTCTTGTCAAAAACAGGCAGGGACACCAAAGGTCCCGTGTTTTCCGAGTGCCTCACACCCACTCTGTGTCTGTGTGGAAGATTTCAGCACAGCACCTCCAAAAAAACCTCCAACAGCTTGAGAGTGTCAGCCTGGAGAGCTGAGCACACACAGAGCTGTCTTTTATCTGCATTTACGGGGGTTTGACAGCTCTGTGGAGCTCCAGCTCACAACAAGCTGCCAACAGCCCAGGGCTCCCCAGAGGAGACAAGGTCATCCCTTCCAGGCAAAGACAACGTGGATGTCACCACTGGGAAATCCAGGCCCTGCTGCAGCCCATGCTGGAATTCCTGGCTCCCGGGAAATCAGCATTTAAAGGTCTTGCAGCGTCAGCTACAGTTTATAAATTCTTGCTTTTTCTTGGTGAATTTCTCATTGACAAAAAGTCATCTACCTCACCTCTCCTGTCCTTGCTCCCCTCAGAGGTTCCTTCTTGACTTCTTTCAGAGGAATTTGCAGGTTGGACTTGCAAATTCCTCCCTTTTTCAGAGCTGGAACGTTTATAGACAATTTTTTTAAAACCCAAGGCATAAATATTCCTATTTCTCAAGTCCCAGAGCTTCCTGAAGACAAGTCCCTTGTCCAAGCCTGTCATGGCCAGACCCCACTACAACTTTACTCCCTTTCTACTCACCATTTGTGAGTTTGGCCATTGCTACAGAAGTCAAAACCTCACAAGCCCTGAACTCCAGCAAGTTGTGTGAGGAGACAAGACCAAACAGAAGTGTCTCTGTACCCCAAATAATTCTTATCCCACTCCTGATCCTCCTTAGAAAGCTCCCACCTTACTCTGAAATTCCCCCTTAGATTATAAAACTCCAACTTGATGCCCTGCTGAGAATTTTTGAAGTCTTTTCCACTGTATTCTAAAAGTATATAAGCAAAATCCCCAACATTTAATGAAGTGTAAAACTAATTATTATGAAATAAAACTCGCTGTTCACCAAGTGGAAAACCAGCACATTTTCCTCTCCTATTTTCCTTTACAATGTATTCCCTCCCCCTACTCTGCAAATGTAAAAATAAATATTCCTCTCAGCGTCGTGCTGCTTTGAAGGCTGCAAGCCCACCAATAAAAACCTGCACAGTTTAATGGCCCTTAAATGCTCAACATCTTTTTCACTTCATGTAAAACCCATCTGATCTAATGGCTGGGACAATTACATGTGTGGTTTTTCTATTCCAAGGTAATTTTCTGCGTTGGCAGAGCAACACAAGCACGAGATGACAAAAGCAGCAAAAACTTCAACTTTCCACACTCAGAGACACTTCCAAGTCAGCTACTCAAAACAAAAAAAAAGAAGTCAAAATTCCCTTTGAAAAGTGCTGTTACACAACAGAACACTGTGCCAGCAATCAGCTCCAGGCCCCATTACCTTGGTAATGCTGCTCTGCTGTTCCAGGGACAGATCCCAAGGACAGATCCCAAACGCCCTGGGAGGCCTCTCAGGTGCATTTCATTTATATTGGATATTTTGGGGCCCTCCCCTTTCTTCCGTTCACTCCTCAGCACTGTTGCCCATGGAAATGGAAAGCTTCCTTCCCCATGGAGGGGACATCTCCTGGGTGGCTCTTCCAGACACAGGGATCATCCCTGCCATGGGATCACCCCTGCCATGGGAATGTCACTGACACAGCCACAGCCCAGGTTTTACCTTCACCTCCAGGAGTCCATTCACCCCCACATTTTCATTCAGCATTGCCAAGGGACTTGTTCCTCTCTGAGCCTGGAGACAACCCCCATTTGTACAGGATTTAGACAATCCACACCTGTTAAAGCCCAAAAGTTTGCTCTCTCCATGCTGATTTTCCAGGATCACCCACACCGAGGGAACAGAAGAGTCTGAGCCACCAGGTGTCACCTGGAATAGTGAACTACAGCATTCCCAGGGAAATTCACCTTTGGTTTCTCATTTCTGTGACACTTCAGCTTGTATTGATTTCTAAAGTAGGACTTTCTTCCCAGATGGGAAGAGATAATGGATGAGATAATCCGAATATCCCGAAACTGAATTCAGCTGATGGTGAAGTTACAGCCCTTCCCTTTCAGGTCCCACCAAGTGAAGGGACTCTGGAGGTGCCAAGAAATTATTTGCAGACATGGCTCAACACAGAACCAGCAGCAGGGTAAGTTCAGTGAATATTCTTTCATTAAAAGCAGTAACAAAACTTCTCTGGCTCACCCCCAGATCTAACAACTGACAGACAACTTGGTGTAGAAGTGATCAGAGTGGATTTACCCCGAAGAATTAACTTGTAGAAGTTCTGGGTCTTGACCAATGTCACCAAAATTTTACCAAACTCACTCTGAAAACAGACAGAAAAGCACAATAACCCCAACAGAATTTAAACCCCAAAGGTGTTACCTGGTATTTGAGATCATCCAGGCCGGTTCAACACCCTTCACACCCACCCTACTTTGCCAAACTACTTCTGTTTCTTTACCTTTAAGAGAATTGACCACGACTATACCAAAAAAAAAAGAAGAAAACAATTTATTGATGATGTAAAATGGGAGAGATTTAGAAAAACTCACAGAGAACCCCCCGGTTAAGGAACATTTTGATACAATACCAAAATATGCCAGAGTTAGTATAACAAAACAAATCCTCTCCAAAAAGTTTCAAGTAATGCAATCATAAAAGAGTTTGGCTAAAAAGGAACATCTATACACTGAGATGTTTTCTGTAATAGTCCTCTAAGAAATTAAAGGAAAGCAGCAGCAGATCTGTTCAACTACAGACACATATTTAGTAAATATATTAAGTGTATTTCTAGAATAAAAACTGTCCTGCACATCCCTCACTGTCTGGAGTCTCCACGTGGCAGTTGCCTCTTCAATTCTACAAGACTCTGCCCAAAAAGGGATAAAAAAGGAAAGAAACATAATACTACTGTAAAAAAGGGAGGCCTGGGAGGTGCAGCTGGTTGGGGAGCCCAGTTAAAACCAAGCAGAGAACTCTGCACTCTGACTTCAGTCCTTACTTTTGAGGACTATGGGAGAGGAGGAGTCTCTTCTGCCTCAGGATGCCAGATTCCCACCTGGTGGTTATCAGCAAATGCTTTAACCAAGTAGGGTGAGGTCAGCACAGGCTTTGCTCAGTTTAAAACAGCCCCATTCATTACCAGGCTCATTTTTCAATTACTTCCTTCAAACAGTCCCAAATTTCATGTTTTCTTTCATTAAACTTCCTTGTGGAAGCACCGTCCTTCAGTTAAAAATGCAGCCTTGTTTAATGGGTAGATCCCAAGCAATTAAAAATTCTCCTTTCATTAATCCTCACTATTGGCATCTTCCCCCATAAATAAGATTACAGTACATAATTTACACCTTAAAATTCCGGGAGCTGAAAATCCAATACCTGAACTGTTGTGCAGCTTAATGAGCTGCTCAGCCCACACCCCCCAGGCCTAATGAAGGATGAAATTATCCAGCAGCAGGACTGTGGCACTGGAATCAAAACGCTGTTCCACAAACCAGGACACCCCAGTTCCACTCTTCCAGCCTGCAGGAATCAGTATTAAAGCACTCAGGAAAGATTTTGGGGGAGGGGGGAAGGGGAGTGTTAGTGTTCTGATGGAAACACCTGATTTTTAAGTCTTGTAAAAAGCAAAGGCACTAAATCTTAAGCTTATATATTAAATAAAGGCTGTAACTTGGCCAGCCAAGTTACAACAGACACCTAAACACCTTCTGTCTACCTCTGCAGCTGACTTTGGGTCACAGCACACCCTGGTCAGCTAATGTGACCAATTAGCTACCTTCTCTTAATCATTAAAGGAGATACAGCCCCAATACTCAGCCATGCTCCTGTGAAGTTTATTTTTAACCACACCACGAGAGTTCAAGTCAGAGGGTAAAGTGGAGGCTCTGGGTGTAGGCCTTGCTTTAGTAAGGGTCAATCAGACATTAAAATAATTTAGCTACCATGTCATCATTTTGACAGTCAGTTTGACACCAGTTTTAAAAGATGTTCTACATCTTTTATTCATTAATGCAAAAGGAGTCAGGCCTGAAATGGAGCCCTCTTTTAGTGTTTTACAAGAAGAAAATGCTTCAGCTTTGTAAGTTGTTTCATATTTGGAGGTTCTAATTGCAGCTATATCATCACCATTATATAAATCTCATGGGGGTTCTCACTCCCACAGCCACAGCACTCCCACAGGACACAGCAGGTCAGCAAACCAGCCCCTGTCTCATCCGGATGATCTGGAGCAGAGCAGCCTGGACATCCTCATCCATGTGGCCCTGGAGAGGCAAACATTCAGTCAAAAATATTTGAAATTCCATCAAACACCAACCATCCACCACCAGCATTAGGAGATTCTTCAAAATCACCCCAAAGTCTTGACTTATTTCTGTGTTTTCACCACATGCTGGGAAAATCTGAAATACTTTGGGGATCCCGTGTTTTTTCCCTCATGGACCTCTCTGACACAGCAGTTTCCTTTATGAAAATATCATGTGGGAAAAAAAGTACCGTCCCAAACCATTCCAGGATTCCCTGGGCTGGAGCAGAATTAAGAACACATCAATAAGTCTCACCCATGGCACGGGTTTGGGGCTTTGTTGGATCAGTCCATTCTAAATTAAAACTCTCCACATGAAAGCAGGCACTTGATGCCAGTTTCAAGTTTGAGGTCACAGAATCATGGACTATTCTGAGTTGGAAGGACCCAAAAGGACCATCCAGTCCAACCACTGGCCCTGCACAGACACCCCAACAATCCCACCCTGCCCCTGACGGTGTTGTCCAAACCCTCCTGGAGCTCTGGTAGCCTTGGTGCTGTGCCCACTGCCCTGGGGAGCCTGTTCAGTGCCAACCACCCTCTGAGGGAAGAACCTTGTCCTGAGATCCCACCTGACCCTGCCCTGACACAGCTCCAGCCATTCCGTGGGTGCTGTCACTGCTCCCAGAGCAGAGATGGAGCTGCAGCCCCAGCGAGTCCCCCTCAGCCTCCTCCAGCTGAACAAACTCAGTGCCCTCAGGCACCCAAGGGGTGCTGCAGTCAGAGACACCCCCAGGAGTGTCCCACACCCAGGTGACAGAGCAGGACAGTGCCAGGGACAGTCGTACCTGCACAGCACTGAGAAGATGTGTCCGATACACCGAAACCACCTCCTGGTGCTGCCTCTTGGCATCCTGGGAGAGACAGGGAGAGGGGAAAATCAGGCATTCAACATCTGCTCCTGCCCACTGCCAACTCTGGGCACTTGGTTTTGTGCCCTGACAGACCAGCCAAAGCTGAATTTCAAAGTCAAAGTTATATCCCCTCCATTAACCAAGAAAAAAAAGTCTTTGCTTCTTTTTTTTTGTTGTTGTTATTTCTTACTTGCAGCAAACCAATTTTGCTGAGAGGCTGCCAGAGCCAGCCTGGAGGCTGAGATCACGGAATCACAGAATATCCCAGGTTGGAAGGGACCTGCTGGGATCATCACAGTTCAACTCCTGGCCCTGCACACTTGTTTTATCACCAGCATCAGCTATTTGTTTAAAACCACCCAATTTAAGAACTCTTTGCCTTGCAAGGGTCAACCCAGCAAATAGTATTAAAGATGTGCTTGTAAATCTGTACAGAAGAAGGATAACTAACTTTGCTCACACTCAGAGCTTTAATTATGAGCTCTTCTGAAGTCACAGGGGCCAAAAACCTGCGTGTGTACCAAATCCCAGCACTGAGCAGGATGTGCTCCCCCTCATTGGCGGCACTTCATGATAAGCAACACTTCAGGGTTTGCAGCCAAGGGAACACAAGTAAAATACATTAAAAAAGGACCATCTCGCTCCTTCAAAGTGAGAAAAAATACATGGTTTGGTTTCTGCAAGGAAGTGTTAAAACTGAGCTTGCATTCAGAAATGGTCCTGGTGTGAACTAGAGCAGAGCATCTCATAGGCACAAATTCTCTCTCCAAGCACAAATTCTCTCTAAATTGTTTGTGTCCTTTCCATCTGGAAAAGCTCCCAAATGTTGTGACTCAAAACGCAGAAGAAAGCAAAAAAAAAAAAAAAAATTAGAGAGAAGCAAGAACTCAGGGGAATTAAAAAAAAAAAACAACAACAAAAAAGAACAAAATAATGAATGCTGCAGTGGCAAAGCTTCAGCCTGCAGCCACCCCCTGCTCCAGCAGCCACAGCCACATCTCCCTGTTTATCCGAGGAACTGAGCACTGCTACCGCACGTCAGACAACACCTTGGGTGAGTACTTACAGCCAGCTGCTGCTGGAGTGCTTTCACTTGGTTCTGGAGCATTTCCACCTGCTGGTTCTGCCTCTTGGAGGGGATCCCGGTGTACGTGAGCTGAGACAGCCCATTGAGAGCCTGCTTTAACCGCTCCACGTCATTGAGCAGCTCTGTGATCTTTAAAAAGAGCACAAAAAACACCTCACTTAAGGATGTCTCACCAAAAACTAATGTTCTTTAATGTTCCTGGTAGTCTGATGAAGACCAGCAAGCATTGAAGGGTCTTTGTCCCAGCTTGCTAAGAGACTTCACTAAGACAAAGGACTTTATTTTCATGACGTGCTGGGTCACATTGTGCTCCTGGCACTGAGATGTGTCAGGTATGGGCCCTGGAGGTCAGCCAGCAACAGAAGTGACAAAAAAAGTGAGTAGCTAAAGATATTCTAGGCCTAACTTCTAAAGAGAGCAGTGAACCATCAGAAGACAAGCCAGAGATGCTCAACAAACACAGCTCCAATGGAAGAGTGACCTGATACTCCAAAAGTCTGAAGCTTTAACAGAATTTAAATACTACACATGATGTACAAAATATATGAGGGATTTAAAAAAACTTAGTATAATGCAAAACCAGGAATTCATCTGATTTGGGCCCGTCCTGGGTACCTGATGCTCAGCACAAGGTCGTGCTGGAACACCTCGGGAGCTGCATTTGCAGCCTGATCCCTCCCTGCTGAACTGAGAGCATCAGGAGCATTAACTGCCACATCCCACCTTGTTATCCTTGGCTTCCACCTGCTTTGCAGACTCCTGGATTCTCTTCTGCAAGTCAATAATGGTTGTCAGTGATTTATCACACCTTTCCTTCTGGTCTTTGATTTCCTGCTCGATGCTGCAGCTCCGCAGCTGGAGCAGCTCCTTCTCATCCTTCAGGGACAGCTCGCTCCTCCTCGCCTGCAGAGCCTCCTCACACGCCTCCTCGTACTTCTTACTCATGCTGGACAGATTTTCAGCTATGCTGCTGATCTGGGCCTCCAGAGAGCTCTTCATGGAGGTGTACTCTGCCATGCCAACCACTTCCCTGCTCCCCAGCTCCGCCAGGGCCTGTTGGCTCAGCTGGAGCTCAGCCTGCAGCTTCGACATTTCCTCGCTCTTCACTTGGTTTTCTCCCTCCTTTTCTCTCAAGCTGGCTTTGACTGCTGCCATTTCTCGTTCCAGCATTTCCTTCATCTGTGTGTGTTCCACCAGAGGTACTGAAGACTCCTTCAGAGCTGACAGTTCCTGCTGCAGCTCTCCTACTTTTAGTGTTTCTTGCTCGTAACATTCCTTCTTACTCCTGAGGGCTTCCTTCAGGTCCTCCACAGTGTGACCCAGAGCCTCCTTCAAGGCCTCCATGTGTTCTCCTGAGAGGTGCTGAGGCTGCAGAGCCCTGGGCTCCTGCAGTTCCCCTCCCTGCTCCTCCTGCCCCGTGTATTTCCGTACCAACCCTCTCAGCTGCTCGTTCAGCTCCTCCATCCTGCTGGCAAACATCTTCTCCATCTCGTGGGATTTCTCAGCCAGGATGTAATTCTGCTGCAAGTCATTCTGGATGGACAAAAAGCCATGTTTGAGCTTCTCATTCTCCTCTTTGAACTTCTTGGTTTCCTCCTCGCTTTCCCTGCGCTTCTGCTCCTGTTCCTGCAACTGTGCCCTCAATTCCTTCACCGTGGCTTCAAAGCTCTGCTCTCTGTCCTCAAAGGAGGCAACCGGGGCGTATTTTGACTTTATGCACTCTTGAATTGTGTCCAGCTCCTTCTTTTGGGCCTCAATTTCCGCGTGCAACTGTGAAATTTCCTCCTGCCCCCTCTGATGCTCAGCCCTGACCGCAGCATTGCTCTCCTGCAGTTCGTGCACACTTTTATTTAAAGCACTTACTGTACTTTCGTGATCTTTTAAACTTATATACTCTGTTTTTAACTGATTCTGTAAGAGTTTCACCTTGTTTTTCAAAGCTCCATTTTCCTCGTTTACCTTCAGGAATTCATGTTTTATCTCCCCAATTTTCCCCTTCAGGTCTGACAGCTCCCCATTGGTCTTTTCCAGGGTGTTGTTCAGGACTGATTTAACCTCCTCGTGTGTCGTAGCCAGCACATACTGATCCCTCAGGGTCTCCCTTATGACTGTGTTCTCAGACACCAGTTTGCTCACTTTTGCCTGTTCATCATCATATTTTTTCTGAAGCTCAACGAGCTGCTTTTCAAGCTCGATCCCATTAGATTTTAAAGCTTCCACTTCTTTTTTGTGCTGCTCTGGAGACACATACACAGCTTGGAAGTGGTCAATATTCTCACTTAAGTTGTTCTTCTCTGCCAGCAACTTTTCAGCTTCCGCTTTGCTTTCATTGTACTTCTTTGTTATTTCAAACAGCTTTTTGGTCAGGTCCCCCACAGCCTGATCGTTTGTTTTCTTCAATTCTTCATGAATTTTTAAAGGCACATTCTGGCTTTTAATTTCAGTTTTTAGCACTTGGACTTGCTGCTTCAGCACCTTGTTATCAGCCTGCAATCTTTCCAGTTCCTTCTGCAGAGCCTCGTTCTTCTGTGACACCTCAGCAACTGCCTTCCCCAGCTCCTGGTTCCTTTGCTCCAGCCCACTCCTCACGTGCTCGTGCTCCTCTGGCCTGACGTGCTGAGCCAGGGCAGCCTTCTGGCTCTCACACTCCCTCTTTAAAAGCACAATCTCTGCCTGCAGCTTTTCCCGCTCTCCTTCCACCTCTGATAACCTCCTGGCTTTCTCATTCACCTCATTTGACAGCAAACCCTTCATGTTCTCAAACCTCTCTGCAGCCACAGACTGGGCCAGCTTGGCCGCCGTTTCCTTGAGCTGCCCTTCCAACTCCGTGACGTTCCTCCCCCTTTTATCTCGCTCCATCTCCAACTTCACAACTTCCTTCTGCAACCTCTTGTTTTCCTCCATCAGCCTTCCCTCGTCCCTCTTGAATTCCTCCACCAGCAGTTCGTTCTGCTTAATCTGGTTCCTCAGCTTTCCCACTTCAGCAGAGGCCCCCTCGTACTTGGTTTTCATCTCCTTCAGCTGCTCCCTGAGCTCCTCTGCCACCCTGGTGCTCCCTGAGGCCACCTCGTTGGTCAGGTGGTCCTTCAGAGCCAGGAAGTGGCTCTGCATTTGCTTCACTTTGCCCTCAGAGTCAAACATCCTCTTCTGAACATCTTTCAAAGCATCTTCCAGCTGCTTTATCTGCCCGTCAGATTCCACCTTGGTTCTCTCACACTCTGATGCCAAAGCTTTACACTCTGATGCCTTGAGGGACAGTTCCCTCTGCAGTTTGCTGATTTCTTCCTTGGCTGCCCCAAAGCAGCTCCTCAGGTTGTCAAGTTCTTTCTTTAAGGTTTCCTTCTCTGAACTGGGTGACTGGACTGGCAGGGACAGCTCCAGGGGCCTCAGCATAGACCTGGACTGGAGGGAAATTGGCACAAAAAAACACGTGTTTACAAGTTTGAAAAGTCACTTTCATGTGTTTATTGTTTATTATTAACACATTTTAATATGTGAATTGTCACATACAGAACTGTCTTAAATCCCTGTTCATCTGAGCATAACTTGTACAAGAGATTTCCTTCTCCCTTAAAATTGCACTAAGTTATTCTTGCCCATATTACAGAACAGGCATTTCAGCTTCTAACAGTAAAAATCTTGAATATAGCTCTACATTATTGTTTCCCAACCACAGGACCCCAGCAAAGTTTGGGTTGGAAGGGACATTAAAGCCCATCTCATCCCAACACTAGCCCAGGTTGCTCCAAGCCCTGTCCAACCTGGCCTTGGACACTTCCAGGGATCCAGGGGCAGCCACAGCTTCTCTGGGCAACCTGGGCCAGGGCCTCCCCACCCTCACAGCCAACAATTCCTTCCCAATATCTCATCTGAACCTAAATCCAAACTCATCAGACCCTACTGACATTAAAGTGCAGGTGTAGTATATTCATTCCATTCCCCTTGTTATGCTATTGATATTTAATCACTCATCTGCCTGAACAAATTTAATTTATTAAGAGATTTCATCCCCATCCCTCAAGCACGTGAAAATAATTTTATAAGGAATCTGAGCAGAGTATGCCCTGGTTAACAGAACCCTCTTGCTGAAAAGACTGAGGAATACAGTCATTTGGAATTCCAGAGGGGCTTGGGTTGGGAAGGACCTTAAAGACCATCTCGTTCCACCCCCAAGGGTCTGACTGGCCTTGTTTGCACTGGAATTGTTGCTTTAGAAAGTTGACAGCTACCAAACAGAATTGTCAGGAAATGATCACATAGCTGGCAGGAAAAAGAAATCTTCTGAATATTACCCAAATTTAAAGCAGAGAAAAATCATGGAGATGGAAACCCAATTGCACTTTACCCTGTGACATTTGATCCAGACCCTTCAGCACTCAAATTCCCCAGTATTTAAAAGCCCTGTCACAGACAGGACTCTAGAGGGCACCAGCAGTTAAAAATAAACATGGAAGAGCGAGGATGCCTCAAAGTTTTGTGTTCAGAAGCAATGCTCAACAAACATACATTTATGAGGATGTTCAGCTTTCCCAGCATTACTATCTTAGGATTCTCTCCAGTGGTAAAATATTTCTTACCTGTGATTCCACGGCAAATGCTTGGCCTTGTTTAACTACTGAATCTTCTTTTCCTAGATTTTCAGAGCAAATGGCATTTAGGTTCTGGTTAAAAACAGTAACACAATCACAAGAACTGTGATTTTCCTTCCTAATTTCAGTCTGTCCAATGGGGTCATGCAAGGCTGGAGGCTGGTGTTTAAGTACTTGGTATTAAAACAATTCCTCCTTAAATGAGTCACATAAAAAGTCTGGACAAAGCCCTCCTAAGGAAAAGAAAACCTTGGAAAAATTACTGCTGTGCCAGGCTGGGTAAATTGTTCTGCAAAAGTGCCCTGGAAGCCACTTCCCCCCAGCTGCAGGTCTGCACATGAGCACACCAGGGAAAAGCATCTCCTTGCACTCCAAAGAAATGATTCCTCCTGACAGGCAGCCAAACAGCTCTCAAAATGTTATTTAATCTGTCATGAGCCATTTAGTTACACAAGTGCAAGGCAGGTCTGTGACCAAGCTGGATGCAAAAGACTCCAGTTTGTGGAAAGGGAATTATTTCTGACAGAAGTGTAAACTGAGGGCTCGTGATTTGAAGCCAAACCTGCTCCACTCAAGCCTTGCCACTGACCAGTTTGCTGGTGCTGAGCCAGACAGGAGCATTGTTTGAGGGATGAGGGATGGAAAGGGGAGCTCCATGGGGAGCAGGGATCTTGTTCAGCTTGTTTTTCACGTTATTAGGGGATGCAGCAGAGTCACAGTTCACATTTCACAAGGCCAGTCACTGTGAGTGAGACTGATGGCAGTGCCCTGGCACCCACCCACCAACACACCCACAGAGTGTCCAGCTCACTCTGCTCCCAGGGCTCGGGGGGGACACACGATGCTTGGCTGATTTAAGGCCAACAATATGAAGAGATGACAAAAAACCCCCTTTGTCTGTGTGTTCTAACACTGCCCCAGGCATGGCAAGCTTTAAGAATTTACTGTACTTACTATTCCCAAAGTTACTTCCAGACCCCGCAGAGTCCCCCTAAAATCAAACAGCAAGAAACACAAAATGAAGCTGAAAATTTGCTTTAAACTTTTGGTATGTGTTAAACCAGGGATTAAAGGGCAGGGAAAGGTCTTACAAGGCGATAACCACTTAGGACTTTCAGCAATTTAAAGTGTTTAAGTGTTTGCTGCTGCAAATATCAATTGATCTATCGCATTTCAATGAACGTACTTCATAATATTTGAGTTTAGCTTTGAGAGCCTCAATAGTCCTCAAGCTTTCCTCCTGTTGCTTCTCCTTGGTGGTGAGGATTTTCTTCAACTCATCCTTCTGAAAGAGAAAGAAGTGCCAAATAGCCAAAGCCACAAGAAGGGACAGATTTGTAAGATCTCGAGCAACTTTTTAAAGAGTTTATAGGGAGAACTTCAACCAAGATCAGCACTGAAAGAACCCCTAAAAATTTTATGTTGAAGTTCTTCCACAAGACTGCTTCTCTACAAGAGGAGTCTTGAAGAATGAGTCAAGAATATGCACCAACATAATCTGCTGTTGCTTAATTTATTCACACTTATTAGTCTTGCATTACTGAAAGTCACTAGAGATAATTATAATATTAAGTTTGCTTTAAAAGTGCCACAGGAATGACATATATTATCTGTAGTAGTAGAGATGCTGTGCAGCTGTATAAACTGACACAGAGCAGTAGATATTTCATTTAGCATTTTTAGGTAGCTTTTATTTCCTCTATAGTTTTAAATACGTTACTGAAATGAGAGAGTTGCTTCCCCTATTTCCCAGTCCTGTTACCCTTGCAGGTGACATATCGTACCTCATTCTCAAGATCATCTGCAAACATTTGCTCCTGTGAAAATAACAAAAAAAAATCCCCCCCAAATCATTTTTTCAATGATGTTTAAGGGGCTTGTACACAGTTCAACAGCTGAGAAATCCACCCCAGTTCCTAATGCTCCCCATCCAGCTTTATCTCTCCTGGCAGAGGTTAAACAGGAGTTAGGGATGTCTGACAGAGCCACGTCCCTATAAACTGGAACACTCCTCAATTATCTGAATCAGACACTACTGAGGCAGAAAAGTACAACTTCTTCTGAAGTTTGCTGATTTTGGAAAGTGACTGTTAAGAAGTTTATTTTATAAAGGCAATGCTGAAGAGAGGAGCTCAGACAAGGCAGTGATTCCAAGAAGAAATTCTTTCTATCCATGTGCTGCATTTAGGAAGAGCTGCACAAATGTACCTCTGTAAAATTCAGTAAAGAAACAAACATGAGCCTCCACAAATAAAAAACCAGCAAAAAAATCCTGGTTTTATTTTCTTTCTGCTGGTCATGCTCAGCTCTAAGGAGAGGGATTTTTTTTTTTTTTTTTAAAAAAACAAGGTTTAAAAAAAAAAAATTGCGTGAGAAATTCCCATTGAGAACTTTGGGTTTGTTTTTTTGCCAATTGAAGATTTTTTTCCTCTCTGCTTCCACTTACAATAACAGCTGGAAAATCAGCAGATGGTAAAGTACTACCACACACCACCTACATTTAATTGGGCAGATGAGGTTCAGTCTCCAAATTACAGCTTGCCAGGACACCCCGAGGCTCCTGCTGCATTGTGAGGCAGAGCCAGGAATGTTATTGCTCAAATTTGTGGGTATCAGTGAGTGATACTGCAACAGGTCTGCTCACAATTTGGATATTACTACAAGTCCTGAACATTACTACCAGACCAAAGGCTTTTGCAGCAGCAGAAAATGAGTGACAGGAAGCAGTAATTCTCAGGAAAGGAACGAAGACCTCGTCCTAATTTCATGTACTTTTCTTTCTACCCCTACTGTCAGCATCAGGGGGTTATTCCAGCTTTCAAGTCAGGTTATTCCAAGCCCTGGTTTACCTCATTCAGCTGCATTTGTAGCCCACTGATTCTGTCCAGCAACATCCTTTGCTCCTCCTGCACTTCTCTCATCCGGTCTTTCAGATCTTGGTTTTCCAACTCCAAGTCCTTAAAAGTAAAACATGAGATTAATAAATAAATAAAGACCACCACACTACACACACCTTGGGAAAGGTAAAGAACCTGAACCAGCAGTTGTAACAGCCACTAAAGGCTCCAAGCCTTGCCTAAGGAGTGCCCTGATGGTTCTGTGGCCTCTCTCCAGGTCAGGAGTGTTCTGAAGGTTTACACAAGCACAAGCTCCTGAGCCTTCAGGCCCCTGAGCTCCAGACAGCTCACTCCTGTCAGTGCACACACAGGTTGTGGAAGGAGGAGCAGAGTGGGGTCACCCTGGGTGCTGACAGCCCTCAAGAGCTGCTTATCTGTGTGTGTTAACACGTACAAACAACTCCTGTTAAACCAGCTCCCAACACCAACCCCTGCAGCCAGAGGTGCCCTGGGAAAGCCTGTGCAGCAGAGCAGCCTTTCAGTGTGAAACTGTTCCAGCAGCCACCAGAACCACCCCAATGACAGCCAAACCCAACCCAGTGATGGGTCTTTGTGCCTCAGTCTGTCAGTGCTCACATGCCAACACAAAGCACCTTTAACTCTTGCCTGAAATCAACTGTGGAGCTGCTTTAGCCCCCCCAGAGAACAGAGATCTTTATCCTCCCATTACAAAGCATCTCAGAATGAAGGCCTCAGTTTTTCAGGGCTTTGTTCCCCATGGCTTAAAACGCTGTTTACCTTTTTGAAAACTGTAATGACATAGGAAGGGGATGGGAAATTAATGCTGGTTAGTAGAACTGTGACACAGATTACTCTGAGTGTGACACAAACATACATCTCTTGAGAGTGGTGAAAAAATAAATCTTGCTGGTTTGTGACTCTGATGTTACTGCAGAGACAGAGGTAGGAAAGGTTATGGAGACTTGCAACTATTTATTACACAAAAAGTATTCTTCCTGAAAGAAGTTTCCAGCTTATCTGCATAATTGCCACATTCCACAGTCAGGCAATTAAGTTTTAAGTAAACAGCAATATATGACCTTTCTTAATGGAATCATTAGTGCTTCCTTTGCAAGCTCATCTTTCTTTAGTTCATCTGGTTCATTATCCACGTGGGAACACCCAAGTCCCAGGAATCCTCCTCTTACCTGAGCACTGTGTTCCTTCTGATACAGTTTGACATTCACCTCCTCCTGCACAAACCCCCGACTCCACTTCTGTGACATGTTGCTAATCTGTAAATACAGCAGTGAAATATGGATTTGTGCTCCTGTGGTGTCCTGCAGACACCCTTTTCTGGGGATAACAGGCTGCTCCCACACCCCTCTCAGCTCCCATGGGGAGCAATCCCACAACATTCCCATTTTGACAGCTTGCTTCACAACAAGAGGTCACCCATGATCTCATCCCCACACAAATGGGAGGCTTGTCAAAACTCTAATCCTGAATATGCACATTGTGGAATATTTTTCACACAGAACCAGCCACACCGTCTGATCCCAGCTACAGATAAAGTTTAGAATCATAAAATACTGAATAGTTTTGTATCACAGCACAATCCTAATCAGATACTTACCTTTTGCTCAGCCTGCCCTTTCTTCATGCTGTCTCTTCCTAAAAAAGCACCACAAAAATAGGAGGTTACAAAACACATTTCATTCAGATTCATGCAACAATGCAACACATTCAGCTAATTCCATCCACTTTCCATACTGGGAGGACATTTAAAAAAAAATAGTTCACCACCCCGCAGTTAATCAAACTTGGAAACATGCACAAGAGCAAAGTTTTTCTATAAATAAGGCTGAAAACTCCAGTAGTCAATCCTGCAATGCCAGGCTCAGCAATGTTAACCCCTCGAGGCATCAGAGCCTGCATTTACCTTAAAAGCTTTTCTAAAACCAAACACAACCCCAAAAACTTTCTTTCCCCCCCCCAAAGAGGCAGTTTATCAGCTCTGTGGCCAGAGGACCACACCAAAAGCAGTCCCTGCAGGCACAGCAGTGAGGACACACAGTTCAACCCAAAGAGCAAAAGTGGCACAACCAGGTTCCCCCTACCTTTGCCGGAGTCCTCAAGGGCAGCTTTTATTAAAGCCAAAATGTCAATATTGTCCCCAATCCTGGCATAGTAAGCACAGTCATGCCCAAGGCCATCAGTCAAACTCACATCCGCACCATTCCTGAGCAAAACCTCCACGGCATCCCTGCAGCCGTACTCACAGCCCAGCATCAGGGCAGTCCTGGGGGAGAGACAGGGGGTCAGCTCTGGGCAGCCCTCGCTGGAGGGAGCAGCTCTTACACAGAGAATCCCTTGTACCTTCATGGCTAATCACAGCCAAGACACCTTCCCTCTATCCAGAGAGGAAACAGCTTTAAAAAGTCATTTGGTCAACGTTTAAATATTTGTTAAAAAGCAAACAAACCCACTATAATAACAGTATTTTCATGAATGTGCTGCCTTTGAGAGTCTCCCAGCGTTTTGAAAACTTTGGCTTCCTCTATTAGACACAAATCTCAGCAGACACAACAAACACAAGACGAGGAGTTTAGACAAAGTCTGGAGAGGGGAGCACCTGGGAGCCCTGGCAATGCTTCCCAAACACTCCCCAACTGCAGGACGTGCCATGGGAGTAGCCAGGCTTTGTCCCATGGCAGCCTCACATCCCTTGGCCACCAGGCAGGAATCCTCCAAGAAATAACTGGCAGAAGCAGCAGCTACAAAGAGAAACCCCCTCCCCTGGCCCAGAAATAAACCCCTCAAGGCCTTGAGGTCCCTTCGGAGCTCCAATGGACTCGGGAGTTCTTGACAAAGCCCCCCTTTTGTCATGACCCATTTTGCACACTGATCCCAAAGGGTGCAAGATGCAGCTCTGGACACAAAACTCTCAAAACAACCAACTGTAGGTTCTCTGCTGGCAGGAACGAGCCTGGGTGTGTTTTAGATGCAACAGAAGCAATAACATAAGACCAGGTTTTATCTGCGTTGTTGAATTGGCACATCTACTTCTGAACTCAACCCCAGGTTCTTTCTCCCCAAATTTAGCACATGTATTCTGCAGCCTGAGAGCTAAGGGGCAGCTTTCCACCCTTCAAACGCCAGCAGTTACTCCAGCAACCCTCTGTGTGCCTTACCTGTTCTGTTTGTCCCTGGCATTGACGTCTGCTCCTCTGTCTATCAGCAGCTGACAGACTGTGGGACGACACATCTGAGTGGCCAGCACCAGGGGTGTCCTCCCATCCTGGAGACAGGGAGGGGGAAAGACATGAGGAAAGGGAGAGGAAGCAGAGGAAGCACAAGAGCTGCCCCAGGGTTTGTGCAGGGGAAGGGTAAGAGCAGGACTCACCCCGTCCTTCGAGTTCACCACGGCGCCGTGGTCGCACAGGAGCTGGATGCTGGAGGAGCAGTCTGACATGGCTTTGGAGAGAGACAGAGGGTGAGTCACACTGCTGAGAGCAGCCCTGGGAACCCCAGACACTTCCTTGGGGGGATTTGGCTCACAAAACCTCACACAGCTCAGTTAAAGCACTGCAAGGCTCTGCAACTTTGTTCTCCCGTCCCCAAAAGTGCCCGATGGAAACCAAACCCTCCTGACCCTGACACTGTAGGGCACCAGGAGAGGGCAGAAAACCCAGAGTGGAGGAATCTTATCCTACTGACAGCTCTGCTCTGAAACTCTGCTCGTGGTTCCTGCTGAACATCACACTAGAAAATTCACAGGCATCAGAAGAGATTCTCACACCTCCAGCCCCCAAGATTGTTAACTTCATCACTGAGGACAAATGTCATGAGAATATAAATCACCCTCTCCTACTACAGTCATCAAAACTAAAAGAATTCTGCCCATCTGAAAGTTAACCCATTAATTTAATCTTAGTTTCATATACAGTTACCAGAAAAGCAAAACCCTCACCTGCATCATGGAGAGCAGTTCTTCCCTGGAGATCCACATTCTCCGTTGGACAATTGTACTGTCAAAATAAGAAAACGTGCCACTTATATCTGCATGGAGACATGCATCAAATAAACAGAAGTTTAAAAGAACCCATTAAAAATTTTTAAAAAAATTTAAAAAAATCAAATGAGCATTAACTGACCAGGACTAAACGAAGCAAAAATAAATATCACACAAACAGAAGACAACCCTCAATATTGTTTCATTAATGAAAGATTAAAGCTCTTTTCCCCATGACTGTCTCATTTTTTAAAAAGAATCTAATTGGTTAAAAAAAGAAACCACAGAAGAAAGGCATATCCCAATTTTGAATCAGTGTATTTAATACCTCCTTTCCCCTCTCATTAATAAGAGACAAGCTGGATTTTTCAGTACCTGCAAGAGCTTCTGCAAACACAAGGCATGTCCATATTTTGCAGCTAAATGCAACGCATTCCTCCCTAAAAACAGATCAACAGCAATCCAGGGTTTGTTTTGAATGGACTTTCAATGAATATTCACATCATTTTAGATACAACAGTCCCTCTGTGTCAGTCCCCCACCCCATTGCCTATAACCAAGTCATCCCTTTTGTATACACCTCACTATTTGTCACAGTCTTTGCTTATTTTAGAGAAACTGCAACCAAGGATTCAAGTTCATTAGTGAACTTAACCTCAAGATACTGCAAATGGCTCCACATAAGCATTTCAAAAATAAACTGTCACATGAAAGGAGGAAGCCAGGTTAGTTCTGTAATTCTCCTGTTTTCAAGTCACACAGAAAATCAATTTTTTTGCCAGCTGTAGAAAGAAGAAAGATCTATCCTGTGGTTCAGCTTAATTCTATTCCAAATTAAAACCCAGCTGAGAACATTTTCCAGCAGCCCTTGGAGCCCTGAGGGAGCCCACCTGCAGCATCAGTGGCCGTGATATCAACTCCATGAACGAGGATGGTGTTCAGGCAGTCCAGGTTTCCCTTGGATGCTACAACATGGAATCTGTAAAGGAGAAAACACCTCGCTTAAGCACAGCTGTTTTGTACATAAAAATGGCAATATTAGCCAGGAAAGCCAAAGCCAACAGCTGCACACTGAAAGCATTACACAGGACAAACCCAGCTTTGGACAGTGTCCAAATCCAGGTGAGAGTTGTGCAGATATTACTGTAAGGAACAAGACAACTTTCTTGAGAAACAACCATTATTTATCTAATCAGTGAACCAGGTGAAAGACCAGTGTGGCTTCAATTTCTCTTTAATATTCAAACCTGGCAAGAGCAAGTATTTGAATACTGATCTTCACTTGGAAGTGAAGGCAGTTTGAGGATTTCCCATCCGAGCCAGCTGGTATTCCAGTTTAGTATGCTGGAATTGAACATGTGGTATTACACAGATTTAGGCATTCAAAAAAGGCTTTTAGAGAAGCAGAAGGTTGGGAATTGAGGAATTTTCAGTAGCTTCCAGCACCTCCTGGAGCACTGAGGTCACTTACGCGGATCTCCCCTCCACATCCAGCTTTGTGGGACTGACTCCTTTCTTGGCCAGGATGGATGAAACCTTCTCCACATCTCCCCTTTCGGCTGCTTTCATTAACCTGTCATCGTATTTGCTCCAGTCTGGGTTCAGCTGTGCAGGAGAGAACCAGAAACGTGAGTGAGCTTGTGGGGCACCTTCAATCCACTGAGGGCACCTCTGGAAGAGGTTGAACCTTAATGCAAATGGGGGAGACAACAAAGCATTGCTTTGGTCTGCAAAGGGAGTCACACCCATCAAACTGTTCACAGTTATTGGTGCACAACATCACTGGAACATTTCAATCAGCTGTTAGAATTGAACAGTGCTCAGAAGCAGCCTGGTTAAGCCACTTCTGTCCTAAAGGAGACCTTCAGGATCAAACTTCCTTTGGTTTTCCTCATCCTGCTTTGTTCTTTGCTCAGTTTTCATATTTCGACAACAAATGGATGCTCTAAAAACAGGCACCAGGACACAGCTTTTCGTGGCTGTGTCAGACTGTGCAGTGGGTCAGAAATTACCCCAGTGTGATGGTCAAGAGAACTGAGCTGTAGAAGAAAGAAATTCAAAGTTCAAAGCCTGCAATTCCCAAAGCAATGGAGAGGGCAAAGGAAGCCCAAGGCAGTTATAAATAGACCACCACACATTCAGCCCCAGACAGTCGTCAGCCCCCACTTTTCCCTTGTTTACTTCACATTTAGAATTTCAGGCCACTGGCCAAGCCTCCCACCCCAAAATACAGAGTTTGTTCTCTTCACTGCCAAACCACCCCTCCTGACTGGCTTTGGGCTTTTCAGGAATTTCTGTTCTGTGACAGAAACCTCCCGGCCAAGCTGGACACTGAAGAACAAGACTTAAAAAGGAGTATTATATTCAAATCTAACCCTGCACAGCAAAAGAATTTGTTGATAACAGTGAGACACAAGCAGCCTGTAGGCACACAAAGTTACTTATCACTGTGGATCAGAAGTTCTACACCTCATCAAATAAAGAACATTAAAACAGGTAACCCCAGCCCAGGGTTTGCCAGGGAAAAGAGAATACACAAAAAAGAACAGAACCAAAAACCCACTGCCACCACCTGCAACTGTAGTGATTTGTAAAATGGAACTGCAATCATGACCAGAGAAGGCTGAGAGGGGATCTCATCAATCCATACAAACATCTCCAAGGGGTGCCAGAGGATAGTGCCAGACTCTTCAGTGGTGCCCACTGACAGGACAAGCAGCAATGGCCATAAACTAAACCACAAGAAGTTCCACCTCAACATGAGTTTGGAACCCTTTCCTTAAGGGTGGGAGAGCCCTGGAACAGCTGCCCAGGGAGGGCATGGGATCTCCCTCTCTGGAGAAATTCCAAACCCACCTGGATGAATTCCTGTGTCACTTTTCTGGGTGACCCTGCCTTGGCAGGGGGTTGGACTGGACGATCTCCAGAGGGCCCTTCCAGCCCTAACGATTCTGTGTGATTATCTTTACTCCCCTTTCTCACAACAAACAAGATTACAGTAATCATGAAGGCTTAGCAACAGCTTACTCAGTACAACACTTGCTAAAAGTGACATGAGGTAATAAAAATAGACCACTAATGACTACCACCAGTGTTGCCCAGCTGAAGTGCAGAACTGATTTGTCAATCAATTAAAACATCCATTAGCCTGAAAGCCAAGCCAGCCTGGCCTAATGAAGTCACTGTGTTGGTGACACCACCAGTGCCAGCAAACTGCCTGCACTGCCCGGGAACGCCGGTGTCCCTTCCCAGCTTGGACACGATTCCTCTGCAAAGCCACCTCCTCAGGTTTAGGTTTTAATTTCAAACACCTCAGAGACTGGGCACACACAGCATCAAGCTCTGTGCTCTCTAAATTCTTCTGCACATGGCACATTCCCATCCTCCCAGGAAAGGGATCCCACCCTGAGTGTCTGTCACCAGGTCGGGATTGCCCAACTGCATCTTTGCAGCTCACACCTGCTACCACAAACTCACTCAAACCTACAGAAAACCCTCCCCAGCCCCTCCTTGCTCCCATTTAATAAAACTTCTGACTAACAGACGCATTACTTAAAAAAGAAAACCAAACAAATCCATCACCTTCATATTTTTTCCCTTTGGTTATAACACTTCAGTAAATTGTATCCATGGCCTGTGATGTTCTGGAGTGCCAGCACAAGGGGGAATGGCTTCCCACTGCCAGAGGGCAGGGATAGATGGGATAGTGGGAAGAAATCCTTCCCTGGGAGGGTGGGGAGGCCCTGGCACAGGTTGCCCAGAGAAGCTGTGGCTGCTCCTGGATCCCTGGAAGTGTCCAAGGCCAGGTTGGACGGGGCTTGGAGCAACCTGGGACAGCAGAAGGTGTCCCTGCCCATGGCAGGGGTGGGACAGGATGATTTTAAAGTCCCTTTCAACCCAAAACATTCCATGATTAAATCATTACCCATTTAACAAATGCATTTCACATTTAAGGAAAATTCCTCACAGGAAAAGTTGTTTAAGAGACACAACACATTAATTAAACAGTACCCACTATAAAACATTTACACAATTCAAGCTTTCCCATTTTTACAGTTGTAAATGACTGCCAGGGATACAAAAGCTCAGATACCTACAGTGTCTTTGGCTGCACAAGAAAACCAACAGATCATCCTGAACTCTGAGCCTGGTGCTGCCAGGAGGGATCAGTTTATCTCACACCAGCTCCCGCTGCTCACACAGGCTGCTTCCAGAAACGGCTCCTCTCCACCGCCCTGGATTCATCTTGCTCCATCCCTCACTTAGCTTGGATCCCCGAGGATATTCTCCCCATCTTCAGGATCATCTTCAGACTTCATAACTCTTGGAAACCTCCCGGCCAGAGGAGCCGTGTGCGGGTCCGGCCGCGCTCGGGGCTCCCCAGGACCCTTCCAGAGCTGTGGGTCGTGTGGGACAAAGTGCCAGAGCCACTGGGGCTCCCAGGGAAATACTGCCCAGACCCCGCAGATCTTGTAAACAATACGTAGACAGTCTCCTGAGGCTGATCTATTTTCTGATAGCCCAGTCCCTGCCGGGCAGGATAGAAAGCGATGGCTATTAGTGCATTCCCGGCGTGCCCGTGCCCTGAGTAATGCGGGGCAGGTTTGGTGTTAACTGAGGAGACAGGCACGCAGGAAACCCTATTGCAGTGTTGTTGTGCTCTGCAGACAGGCAAACACTCGCTCTAAAATAACAAACACGTTAGTCAAATTAACTGTGCACTGACACGGGGAAAGTCACGCTTATCACCACTAATAACACACGAGGACTGAAATACTCCCAGGAGTCACTTTTTCCCCCATTCCACCAGGCCACAGAGCTGAAACCAGACTCAGGCTCAGACTTCAGACAGTTACAACTGCGGAGCAGATGGAATGCATGATCCTATTTTGACAGAAATGTAACCCATTTCAAATTAGAAAACACACATGCCTCTGCTTTAAAAAAATTCTCCTTTTACAGCATTGAAACCCTTTCTGAATAGAACCTGGTTTCAGCTTACTGCTGCTGCCAGTCTGTCTCCCAACATGAGAAACAAGAGGAGTCACAGAGGCTGTGAAAACATTCAGTGACAGCGCAATGATTAACAGGGGGAGAAGGAGAGTCCCCTTTCACAAGTTTTAAATTTAAATGGAGATCTCCCAAGTGCCATATTTAGAGGAGTAGGTCAACAAGGCAAGCAATGCACTGTTTTGTCTGCAGAAGAAAAACCTGGTCCAGGGCCAGAAAATCCACACACACACCCTGGAGGACACACAGGAGAGACTGCAAATAGCCTAATAAATGGATCTTCTCAGCAAAGAGTTTTAAAAATCACTTGTTCATATTTGGACTAATTCACTCCTTCCCAGTAATTTCTGAACTATCCCACATCCCCTGTTGTGAGCAGCAGCCTTTGCCTTGCAGCACCACAAAGAATGTGTTTCCCCAAAGAATGCTCCAAGCCCTCTCTGCAGTCAGTACCCATGTGACAAAGCCACTCCAAAAAAGTGCAGTGACTGCCTCGTCTTCTGACCAGAACCAAGTCTGTCTCCTCAAGCTAAAAATGGCTTTTTTTGGGGGGGAGGGAAAAAATAAATACACTTCACAAGTGACAGCAACAGAAAAGGCCCATTTAACCAAAATCAGTTTGGTGAGAAGTGTAGGTAAGACTGTGGCTTCCAGGTGTACAGTCTTCTCCAAAGTATTTATCCCAGAGGTTTCACTCGTCTCCATGTTATCTGCCTGCAGGCATTCCTCGGGACTGCAGCCCCTTTGTGCTGGAGATCCTCCTGAGACAGTCCTGACCACAGGATTTAGGATTGCTAAACCACATTCCCCAGCCCTGCCCAGCTCCATCAGCACAGAGCAGCACCAGGAAACACAGCACAGCTACAACTCCCACTGACTAAACTGTCCTCCAAGGCAGTGAAACCAGGGGGCTTGAAGGGTAGAAACAACTTAAACGTGCTCATGTTGTGTTCTTTCAGTGTAACCAAAGTTTAGAGCCCCGTTCAGAGTTGTTTATCAGAACAAAGACCAGAACCATCATCAGACACCGGCAGTGCAGATCCCTGGGGGTGCTACCCTACCCACCACCCACAAATGCCTGGCCAAGGCCAATATTACCCGGGTTTTATTAACACAGAGCAACTGTTTTTTTAAGCTCAGCCTGCCAGGAATCCTTCCCAACTCCAGGTCTCCAAAGATAAGGAGCATCCCATCCCCTCCATCTGTTAGGATCAGAAGCAGCCTCGTTCCCAGCAGTTTGTGTCTGGTGTGCTCTCGGTTTGAGGGATTTATCTGAGGCAGCCACGCTGGGTGTCTGCACACTCTGTGCATCCATCTGGGATCCCACACCCTTGGGAGGGATGGAGAGACATGTTCACACCACCCTGCTCAGAGAGAGAACATGAACTGAGCAGGCACAGGATACTGCTCCAAGTGCCCTCCTGGCTCTCAGGGAATGACTGAAACTTCCAGGCTAGAGGGATTCTACCTACATGCCAATGATCCTGAACCAATCACTGTATTGACTTCTCCAGTTTTTCCTCAAGTCCAGGTGAGCTTTGAGCATCCTCGACAGCCTTGGGTAAGGAACTGTACAACTCAACTACATAACAACA